CCTCCCTCCCTCTCTCTCTCTCCCCCTCCCTCCCTCCCTCCCTCTCTTTCTCTCTCCCTCTCCTGTACAATAGGAACCTGATTGCCTGATTACACATCTCTGATTTCACCACCGGGCAGCGTGGACCCCCAGAGTTCCTCCTAACTATCCTCTTAAAGCCATTCACAGAGGCTGGTAGGCAGGGCCATGAGCTTTGCTCCCCCGGCAGGATACATCTCCAGAGGCGTGATTGGTCTTAGTTTCAGGCTGACGTCCTGGAGAGGAACGACCGTCCGACGGTTCGATCAGGACCGAAGGCCGGCTTGCCTGGATGCCAGAGTGAGCTGAGCCTGGCAGGGCTGACGTTTCTGCTGAGAATGGCGGTGCTCTGGTCCTCTCTCACTTCCTCTTCTCTGCCACCGCCTTGAGGGGCAACAGCTAGGTCGTTCTCAGTCCCCTTCCTCTGCTCTACTTTCCCAACCCCTGGAATGGAGAAATAGATGGCTTGCCGCTGCTGATTAACAGCACACTTGTTACTCCATAAAGCCTATTTCCTTCAGAAAGTAGAATTGGCCCAGCAAACACAGCACCCTTCTTTCCATGGTGAAGAGGCAGGCGCTGTAAATGTTTAATGAGCTTCAGGGAAAGGGAGGGAATAGTGTGCTTTCCATGTTTGATATTCGTCTCCCAGTGTGAGAAAAGAGGCCAAGTGGAGATATTCTAGTAGTGCTGTTATTTCTGTCCTGACAGCCTGGGTGATGCCAACGTGTTAGCTGCCATAAGAAGCGCTTTTCCATTTGCCTGCTCTCTCCTCCCCCAGCATGGATGGAAAGCTGCTTTCTCATTAAATATATCACAAGGTGGGGGGCAGAGGGGAAATGATTGCAGCACTTGCTAAATCACCTTCCAACCTAGAGCCCAAACATGGCTCATTGTGTCTCTCATTTTTCTCGTCTGATGTCCCAGAGGAAGCTCGAACGTGAGGCTTCTCTCCATAATGAATGTGAAGTTTATGGAAACGACATTGATTTCCGCCACGGTGAAGCCCGTCACACCTTTATCTTGGATAGAACTTGACAACTCCCCACACAGGCTCGCTCAGAATCTCAATGAATGGGCTGCTCCCTTTCAGGCCAGCCCCTCTCCTCCGGACCTCGCGCTCCTGAGCACAGAGCCCTTCAGTATGAAAGGGAGACAGATGAGAGGTGATCATTGTGTACATGCTTAACAGCATCACCGAAGATAATCTGGACAGAGCCAGAATACTTTTTTCAGGATCGATGGCAGTCAATGCCAAACAATCCACACCTCCTGTGTGCAGAGACAATTACTCAATGCTTCTTTAGACTGCCCTCAATTCTTTAAGGCCTAACCAGGTTCAGACAATGTTCCTACATGTTCTCTTTCTCCATAATCAGAGGAGAAGTGCACATGCCAGGTATGCATCCTTTGGCACCAACTACCCAATGGGCAGTCAACCAGACTGCCACTCATTTATTTCCTAGCATAGTGCCTAATTGGTGTATAGAGATAACTTTGGTGTCTCAGAGACTAAAACAACACAGGAGAATGAAGCTGGAAAAAGCTTGAATATCGACCCAGGGGCATATTCCAGTACCACAGAATCATAGAACAAGAGGGTTTGAAGGGATCTTTGTGGCCCTCTGGTAAAATCTATACCCTAAATGAATCCCCACTACAACATAGCCAACAGGCTGCCATCCATTCTAACATTGCTCAGGATTGGAGCCCAGTACTCTCGGAGGCAGCCAATTCCACTGGGCCCAGCTCTTATTTAGAGGAAGATCTTCTTAAAATCAAGTTGACATCGGCCCCTTTGTCACTTCCATCTATTACTCTTGGCCCTGTCCTCTGGGGCCAGTCAGAAGCACTCCTTCTTCCATGTGACAATATTTCAGATATTTGAAGGTAACTATCTTGTTCTTCCCTAAATTTTCGCTTCCCCGGGAAGAGCATTCCTATTTCCTTCAACCATTCTTACATGGTATGAATTTAAAACTCTATACCATCCAAGTTGTCCACTTCTGGGCATTTTTCAGCATGTCCAGGCCCTTACACTGTGGTGTCAAAACTGGCCAAAACACTCCTGTGAAGTTCCGATGAGGGAAAAAATCAGAGGGATTATCACATGTTTATTCCTGGAAGCCACACCCTTCCAATTTTTTAAAAAATTTATTTAATATTTTATTTTTCCCAATTACATGTAAAATAATTTTAACATTTTTTCAAATTTTGAGTTCTAAATTCTCTCCTCTCCCCTCCCCCCTTATTGAGAAGGCAAGCAATGTGACACAGGTTATACATGTATCATGCAAAACATAGTTCCATGTAAGTCATTCTGTGAAAGAAAATGGACAAAAAAAGAAAAATAAAGTAAATAAAAAGTATCTTTGATCTGCATTCAGGCTCTACAAGTTCTTTCTCTGGAGATGGACAGCACCTTTCATTAGAAGTCCTACACAACTTCCTTAGATCATTGTATTGCTGAAAATAGCTGTTATTCATAGTAGGTCATCATACAATTTTGCTGTTGCTGTGTACATTTTTCTACTGGTTCTGTTCATTTTACTTTGCATCAGTTCATATAAGCCTTTCCATGTTTTTTCTGAAAGCATCCTGCTCATCGTTTCTTAAAGCACAATGGTATTTCATCACAATCCTATACAACAACTTGTTCAGCCATTTCCCAATTGATGGACATCCCTTCAATTTCCAATTTTTTGCCACGACTAAAAAAGCTGTTATAAATATTTTTAGGACACAGTCCTTTTGCTTTTTTTAATCTCTTTTGGATATAGAGCTAGTAGTGGTATTGCTTGATCAACGGATATGCTTGGCTTTATAGCCCTTTGGGCATAGTCCCAAATTGCTCTCCAGAACGGTTGAATCAGCAGACAACATCACCAATTTAATTTTCCCACATCCCCTCCAGCATTTGTCATTTTCCTTTTCTATCATATTAACCAATCTGACAGGTGTGAGGTAGTAGTTCAGAGTTGCTTTAATCTGAATTCCTCTCATCAATAGTGATTTAGACAATTTTTTCCCATATAACTATAGATAGCTTTGATTACTTTGTCTGAAAACTGCCTATTCATATCATTTGACCATTTATCAATTGAGGAATGACTCTTGTTTCTATAAATTTTGACTCAGTTTTCTATATGTTTCAGAAATGAAGTCTATATCAGAAAAACTGACTGTAATTTTCTTCACGGTAATGATTACTACCATGTATTTCCCTCCACCTTGTTTTACACCTATTTATCATACTCTCCCTCCTTCTACCCTGTCCATTCTCAAAAGGGTTTTGCTTCTAACTTTTACCTTCCCCAAAATGCCCTCTCTTCTGTCAACTTCTCTTCCTCTTATTCACTTCTCTTCCTACTTTCCTGTACAGAAAGATAGATTTCTACACCCAAGTGAGTGTGTATATTATTTCCTCTTTGAGTCAATTCCAATGAGAGTAAGGTTCATGTGCTCCCCTCTCCACTTCCTCCATTTTCTCTTCCACTATAAAATCTCTTGTAGGCCTCTTTTATGTCAGATAATTTATCCCACTACACCTTTCCCTCTTCCCTTTACCCATTGTATTTTTTGTCATCCCTGAATTTATTTTTTTTTTTGGATAATCATACCATCACATTCAACTCACACCTCTGCTTTCTGTCTATTTATACTCCTTCTAACTGCCCTAATAGTGAGAAAGCTTTTAGGAGTGAAAAATACCTTTTTCCCATGTAGGAATATAAAGAGTTTAACCTTATAAAATCCTTTATGATTTCTCTTTCCTGTTTACCTTTTTATGCTTCTCTTGAGTCTTGTATTTGAAAGTTGAATTTTCTATTCAGCTTTGGTCTTTCATCTGGAGTGCTTG